TTTTTCATTTTTACGCCTTCCCAGGAATTGCACCTGTGGCTTAGGCACCTCTAGTCCCCTCCCTTGCTACGGCCCTGTACCCAGTGGTAAGTGATCTTGCCACTAACACGTTCGCATAACGACCGTAATGACAGGAGTTGATTTTTCCTGCATGTTTCTCAGCGAAAGAACACCACGCCCTTGAACTACGATGGTAAACAATTTTATTGAAGTGCCGTCCAGTGAAAATTGCTTAAAATATGTTCTGGTACGGACTATGACGGATTTCCTTTTGTTATCGATTGAATAATGTAATTTTCTTAATTTCCGATTGTAACGCCGACCGTTTCCAGGGCGAGTATTTCGGCGAGTACATGCCCATGACATTGTTCGGCGTGGCCGCGCTGCTGGCCGCCGCCCTGACCATGACCCTGCCGGAAAGCAAGAACATCAAACTGCCGGACACGATCGACGAGGCCGAACGGATCGGAAACGAAGACAAACTAGAAGTCTAACCCCGTGCCGTCGTCCATCTCGTACAACAACAACAACAACAATAACAACAATAACAACACAAAAAACAACAATCAGTTCCATGTCTTCGTTGACCGAGGGGTGCGCTACGGTGCCAAAGCAGTGTACGATCGGGCCCGGGCGCGGTGCAACGTAACGTTATAATTTTATTTGACCGTCGTCGAGGTTCGACCTCAAATTTCAATGAATAAACGATAATAATAGAAATAAAAGAAAATAAATGTACGTGATTTAATGTTACACATTCGGTCGCATCGATGTGTACATAATATTAAGAACCCCTCCTCGCGCCCTCGACAGAATTATTACAAAACTATTAAACCGTTGCGGTGATATTACGTTACGAAATTCTCGAATTCCGGAACATTCAGATTCATATCACTTCTGTACCGTGAGAGAACTCGAGTTCGCTCACCTAAATTATATTATATATTTGTAAAAAATTATGTAAATTCTAACTTTTTTTTATATATATATATATATATATATATATATAAGACATACTATTATTTTGTATCATTTACTGTGAACAAAAATTCGGTTTGGTGCACGGTGCGCAAAAGTAAACACAGTAAAAGTACCCTAGTAATCGTCGCCAAACCGTACATGATGGTGTATTGTCAATAAAGCTGCGAACAACTGTTCTAAGTGTAGCTAAAGCGCGAGTCGATAATTATTACATAACCATTGATATTGTTATAGTATACGTATTATTTACTTTATTACTTTAATTATATTTATTACTGCCGTCAAATACGGATTCCAAATATTTAAAATCAATATAGTATTTATTTTTGTGAATATTAATTATTAATTTTATTATTATTGTTATTATTATTATTATTATTATTATTATTTTTATTTTTATTTTTATTATTAATGATTAATTATTATTATTATTATAATTATTATAATTATTATTCATATTCTTCTTTTTCGTGACTTCGGCTTTCAGTACCATGTCATTCAATAGATTTGTCTCCAAATCCTCCTATTTATTGCTAACTCCTTTCAATCTATCATATTATTTATTTTTTTATTAATTTATTTAATTAACGACAATCGGGAATTTATAGATACATTAGGTATAATACGAGTATATAGTAAATTAACAAGTAATGGTTGTGTTAGGGAGATTACAACAGAAACAATAGATAGAACACAGTCGCAAATGATAAACTTAAGCAGTGGCGTATTTAGAAACTTTTTTTTTTGAGAAGGGGTGTCATACCTAATAGTGAAATAATTTTATAAATTAGTGCAATATTAATATTAAAATTATTAAAATATTAAAATTGATGCCCAACCTTTTTCCTTTGGCGGGCCACTTTGGTAAGCAATTATCTTCAAGCGAGCCACAAAATATAAAAGTACAAAAATAATCTTATATATTGGACTTGTTTTCTTATCTTTTATTGTCTATTGAAAAGATTATGAATTGAAGTATACTTAATAATATTTTTTGGAATAATTATTTAAACGAATTCATAAATTTAAATAAAAATAATATAATAAATAAATAATTTAAATTTTTTTTCATACATTTTTAAATTTTTTTTTTATTATAGAAAATTCGTAATGGGCCACATAGAATACCTTCGCGGGCCACGGGTTGGGCACCACTGGTATAAAGTGCTCTTTATCAACTTATTGTTAGGTTTTTTATTAACTTATTGAAATCAAACTATTGACAAACTACTATAACAAAATTATAAATTATATTATAAATTCTAGTTTTTGTTTTTTTTTTTGCCAAATCATCAATAATTTCATCGGTTTGAAAGTTTAAATCTCGATTAATCGAAAGCATGGCAAGAACATCGACATATAGACAGATAATTTCCTCACATCAAATTATTTATATACCATGTGTCTGTGAATGCCGTGCGGTCAATTCTTATTATTATTATTCGATTACAATTTAATTATTAGCGATATTAATATTTTTTTTCATTATACATTAATATTTTATTGAATAAACAAACTAAAATTATTATATTACTGATATTTTTAAAATTTGACGTTTTCAAATTTTTTTTTTGTGAGGAGAGGGTTGAAACCCCAGTACCCTCTCCCTATAAATACGCCACTGAACTAAGTCGAACTTAACAATAGACAATTATAGTAGTACGTTTTAGTGTAAAATAAAAATAAAATCTAAGCGTTTGGTAAAGATATATAGTTATGTTATATCAATCAGCTCAGAGGAGTTGTTAAATAGACGGAGCATTCTATCTATTAAATTGCTGTGTGAGAATAGTTAGTACGGTGGGTGAAGACATGGAATAAAGAGTGATTTCTAATAGAACGAACAGGAACGCGGAAAGAGATAGAAGACAGGTCTGAGGCATCTACTGAGTCATTCAGGAGAGAAGTAATGAAGGAGAGGTCAGCATCTACACGGTAAGAAGCAAGAGTAGTGATAGTTAATAAAGATCTAACGGATAGATTATCATGGAGTGGGTGGTCAATCTTGAGTAATGAAAGTGGCGTATGACAGGAAGCGGTTTTGAACTCACTCTAATCGTAATTGATCCTTGACGAAGTAAAGATGACATACAACTGAGCCGTACTCTAAGATAATTTATTTAAAATTAATTATTATTTTTATTATTGAACATAATTTAACGATGAACTAATTTATACGTATTTTAATTATTATTTTTTCTATCTATTTTATTCTTTTTAATTTTTATTAATAAAAGTATATATCTATTTTTATTTGATTGAGTTTCGCGATATGGGTGTCAGTAGGACATTTTTATATTTTATTTACACGACCCGATATTTCTTCAGCATTTTCTACACAGCAGATCACTATTCATATTTCTTATGGGCGTTGCAAAACAACAGTAATTGTATAAATCAATACCGGATCGTTCTTCTTTCTCATTCTCTACATTCGTCTAAAGTCCGAGTGCTATTGATTACAAGTTCGAGGCCCACTGTTGCATAATCACGAAAATTGTATAGTGGCTAAAAGCCCTTTTCTTCAAAAGGTGGAGGTATCAACCTGTTCAGTGTCGTTCAACGTGCCAAATGCAGCTTTCCGAAAACCGTTCATCATTACATCTGGGTAAATGATCTGGATCTCATAACACAGCGGTTCCTAAACTGTGTTCCACGGAACCCTCAAGGATCCGTTCGTTTTATCAATCAAAATGTAATAATATAACAATCATTGATCGTTATTTAGAAAAACGAGCCTATATATTCTTGCAATGGTCCGTCAACTCAAAAACAATTCACCCATACGTATAAAAACAATATTCAAATTCCTATAAGAAAATATAATTTTCAATTTTAGATAATACGAATTCCCATTCCAATTATTATCCGGCCAGGTACACTGAATATAAATACAATATTAAATATAAATCATCTCATTTTGGGTTTCTATACATGGTGTATACATATCGTGTATTATATGACGTTTCGTGGAACACAGGAAAATAAAAATTAATATAACATTTTTCTTGATGATCTCCACGAGAAAAAATTGGTAAAAAATAAGGCTCCATGGCTGAAAAATGTTGGAAATCGCTGTCATTATACGATGTAACCCAAATGTACGATGAATGTTCGCTATAAAATAAAACAATAAGTACACGTAAACGAGTAAAATTTAATTTTTTTTGCTAACTCATTAAAATTGATTGTAATCTGCTGAATAAAGGAGCACGTCTTATCCGATTAGAGAAAGAAAAACCAAACGTCCTAACAGGTGGTTTTTACATTGACTAGCATAGGAAATGTCTAGGAATCGACAGAAAACATCGTCTTGTGCGGCGAAGTGCATTCAAATTATGGGGCGAACGTGAACGAACGCGATTCTACTAACAATTGCCGTTCGTTCAGAACACTACGATTTATAAAACAAAAACACGTTGATGACAAGCTCCAAATCAAATTAAATCTACCACGGTAAGAGTCTTATATTAAGGACAACAAATGATACTCGAAGTTATAAATAATTTACAATATTAACTTCCGAAATGTTTACTAAGTTTTTAGATTTAGTAAAACCTATAATTGAAAAAAAGGCTAAAATATTTAGAAAAACCATACCGGTTTACACTCCGTTAATCAGGCCCTGTGTACTCTCCGGTGATTTATGTAATACCGTGGTATATTATAATCCGTGTAACTGAAGATGATTCCTTAGATCAGTGGTGCGCAACTTTTTTTGATCCACGACCCCCCAAAATTATTTATTTTGATAATACGACACCACTTTCTACCAATATTATGTAAATGTATAATATAAATTTACTTAATAGTCTTAATACAAACATTTTATTCATGTACATAAAATCGTTAATTTTAGGCAATTTTAATATTTCTTTAATTTAATTAATCGATAACATAAAATAAAAAAAATAATACAAAATTAGAATTTTATAAAATCCAAAATTAAAAAATGTATTACGATAATGATAATCAAAATTTTAATATTTTTATAATTATAAAATTACTATTTAATTATTTTAATGAGAGACCTGAGCTTGCATTGTAGACATGATTAATTCTATGTTTGGTTTGATATTTGACACTACTACTTTTAAATCAGCTTCAACATTTAATCTGAAGCGATATTTGTTTTTAATTATCGTTAGTGTTGAAAATGTTGTTTCGCATAAATAATTTGTTGCAAAAGGAAGTAAAATTGATATGGCTTGTTTTGATAATTCTGGATATTCAGATTTGATGGAAATCCAAAATGTACCACATCTATTTTCTCGAAATCTGACACGTAGATTTTCATCTGATGACAAGTCAATAAGTTCTTCGCTTATTTTTAAATTTCCTAATTTTATTTCATTGATATATACATGAAATGGATTTTTTATCCAACCTAGAATTTCTTCTGGGAAATCTTCAAACCGTACATTAAAGTTTGTTTGTAAACTTATTAGATGAGCAGTTATAATTTCTTTTATCATATTAATATCCACATCATTATCACTGAGAAATTCTGATAAACATAAAAACATTTAAAATTTGTCATCGTCAATATAATTTTTCCACAGAAGAATTGTCTGTTTAAGAGCATTGATTTTATCAGAAAGAAATAAAATATTAGTATTTTTTCCCTTGTAGGCTTAAATTTAGATGATTTAGGTTTTCAATAATATCTGCAAGATAACCCAGAATCGCAAGCCATTGCTCGTCTAATAATACGTCGCAACGACTATCTCGATTTGCATTCTGAAAAAACATTCTTTTTTTCCACAAAATGTACAAGGGATCGACCGATGCACATTTTTTTTTTTTTTTTATTAAAGTAGTATATTTACAATCTATATAAACAAGATATAATGAGTGTGCTGACTTAAAAACTTTAGAGGCACGTTTTAAAAATTGTATTAAGTTAATTAAATATTTAAGTTTGAAATTCTGTATTTTTCTGAATTTTTAACAATATTTATTGTAATTCAAATTACAAAAATTAAAAATGTGGCTCGATCGTTCCCTTGTACATATTACGGAGAATTCGTAAATTTTTTAGAATGAAAATCGTGATAATTGTCGACACGTAACGTTGGAATTAGAAACAGTAGTTTTTGTTAAAAAAAGACGTGGTGATGAGGCCGTTTCAACTTGACTATCGGACTATTTCATAATAAGCGTGAGATTAAATAAAATTACTGATTAAATAAAATTTTAAAATAACTGCGTGGTTCAATAGAAATTGTTATCGCAACATTAAAATATGACCTAATATTACGATTGACACAGCCATCGACGGTACAAAATAATTTTATTTTGTATAAAACTATAAAATAATACACAGAAGGTATACAAAATTTTCATTTGGTGTAAAATTATTGGCGACACCCAGGTTGCGCACCACTGCCTTAGAGATTGAAATTGCGCGTTTAATACAGGCTAGCATATTAATCTATATCCATTAGTTAATCGGCTTTTAATTGATTAATTTATCTACGGTGATACATAAACCACAAGCGTACGCACGAGGTGAGCCGAATGTGCTGCACACCCAAGTGCTTTACATTTTTGATTTACTTACATATATCTTTATGATTATTAATCGAAGCTAAAATGTATCGTACTATAATAGGGTATCAAAGTGGTAAACAAATATAAAATTAATAACTTATTTTTTAAAAAAATAAACAAATCTAATACTGGTCACAAATAAGAGTTATAAACAAAAGTATTACAATCACTTTTAGTATTTTTCTTTTTATAATATATAAATTTCTAAAATAAACAATAATTACAAGCTAAGTTGTAATTATTATAATAATGTAGAGGGAATATTTACCTCATTGGGTTAAAGTGAGACTAGGAACACCTAATAAAAATTATCCTACCCATGTATATGATGTATACAATAAATTATTGATTTTACAAATATTATTAACAATTATAACCCTTGAGATTGCAATTAAATGTATTTCTCATAGTTTTAAATTTCAATGAAATTAATTTATCCTAATGGACTAGATTCTAGTCACTAGAACACAATATAAACATTTCAAATACTAAAAGAAACTAGAAAGAAAAAAGGCTTATAAAAAAATTGTTTACTCAACAAGTAAAATTTTTTCTACATAACTATTTTTATTTATCATAAATATTTAAATGTGTGGTATATTCTTAGCCAATATTCATCAACTAATAAATATTTAGCCACACTTTTATTTTTAATATTAAAATTAATTATATATTTGTCTTTGAAATTTCCTAATAGTGTTAAAGCTTGAGTGAAAAATATAAATATTTTTTAAATCATCATAATTAATTTATTGTAAGACATTTAGCAAAATGATAAAATATGATTTTTATCAATTCTATAAAGTAGTTTATTACCGGACGCAATCATTTTTATAAATATAAAATAGTTTAAACAAATTGCTCACATCACAAAATAAATATTTAAAAGTTTTTTTGAAAATAAAAAATAAAATACATAGTGATTAAATAATTAAGAATCATTTTTTTTATTGATTTATTAGAATTTTACAAAATTGATTCTTACAGTTACAAGTAAAAAATATACTTAGTATTATTAATAAGAATTTTAAAGTTAGTAACTTGAAATTAATAGGTGAAAAATAAAACACAGTGTACGCAGAATAAATAATTACGCATCATCATCATTGTCAGGTGCACGTCCACCTGGTGCCTTAGGACCTCCCGCCCGTTTAGCCATAATAATTTGATCGACTCTCAGAATTGTGCAAGCTGCTTGTGTTGCATACTGTAATCCCCAGAACTTTGATAGGTAAGAATCAAATATACCGGCTTCGCTAACATCTATTATTGTTGATCCTTTAGGCTATAAGAAAAAAATATTAATAAATATTTAATAATTAAAAAAGATAAAATAGGTTAATAGTTACATACTTCAATATTAAAACCAGCAAATTTATTTCCTTTACTATGTTGAGAATAAAGATCGGCAAGAGTTTCATTGGATTTCACACCAGTGTTGTCAGCTAGGATTTTAACAAAACCTTCCAGAGCAATTGCAAACCTTTTTGCACCATACTGTTCTAATCCGGGCAGTGTGTCTGCATATAGACCTACTTGGTGGGCAAGTTCCATCTCAATGGCTCCAGCTCCCGCCAACAATTTTCCATTCTATAGAAAAATTAAAAATATTTACAATAATTTTGTTTTTATTTGTTAACAAATATGTGAGACTATACTTAAAAATAATTATATTATAATATTATACCCTTGTGATTCCTTTAAATGTATTTACTCCATCATCAATCGCTCTTTCAATATCATCCATGTAGTTATCAGTTGCACCACGTACAACAATAGTAGACATGCGAGAGTCCTTGCCATCCAAACGGAATACAACTAATGAAGTATCTCCAAGTTCATCAACATACACACAATCAGCATAACCAATTTCTTCTTTGTTTGGTGGTGTCTGAAAACAAAAAACATTATAGCTTAATAATTATGCCTAATTTAACATTGATGAAAATTTTAAAAGCCTTAAGAATAATTTAAAAAAAAAAAAACTCTCAGTTCAAATATGACCTTGTGGGCAGGTAAGATACAGGGACAAGTTATGATATTGTTACATTGATATATTAATCTTGAAATAAAAGTACAATTGCTCTAAAAACATGATTCCTAATGATAGAGATCAGATAGATTAGTTTTTATGTCTAAAGATGGTTTATATGGTAATAGAACCAAATTTTTTAATATGTTTAGTTTTAGGTAGGTTAAAAAAAAATCAAAAATTTCAAGAACTTATAAACATAACAAAATTAATTGAAATAACATAGAAATTATGAAATGTCTTTAAAATGTTAATATAAGCACTTAGTAATTTTTTGAGTCACTATGATTATTATTTATAGAATAACAAGCAAATAATTAATATCATTAATAATTAAAATACCAAATTTTGTAAAAATTAAATTTTCTAATGCTTATAAAACATTTTAGTGATTTTCCAGAAAAAATATTTTTAGCTACAAAAAAATCTTAAGAATGTTGAATGTTTATTTTAAAGACATTTTATGAAAAAAAAGCTAAGAAAACATGAAATTTTCAAAAACCTATAAATGGCTCAACAATTTTTTGAGTTACAATAAAAAAAAAGATTCAATTTAGATAAAAACCGGTATACCAAATATGTTACTTTTTTTTTTTTTTTGCAATTTTACACAATAATTAAGAAAATTGTAGGAAAAATGGGAGATGCAAGGCAAATATTTATAATGTATATTACACAACCATATATTATTTTGAGATAGGCATTAATTTGTTTTTATTTAAATAAAAATGTTTTAATTATTAATGGGAGGTGCAATTAAATGTTTTTAGTTTTGGATATGTATAATCCAAACATTTTGCATTACCACTGCACTATACTACAATATTTAAAAAATTTTATAAAAAAAATCTACAACAAATACTTACAAGTCTAGGTAATGCTGTAGCGGAAACAGACCTACACAATCGTCTTAAATCGAATTTACTCATTAAACGAACACCCATAATCTTATATTTGTTCAAATAATGTAAAGCCATGTCACCAAATTTACCACCAGCTACAATTACAGTGATACCAGCATCAGCAATAGCTTTTATCTGTTCTTCAAGCACCATTTCTTCACCACGACTAAAGTTTTGTAATTCGTCAGCCGATTTAATTAAAACTGTTCCCTAAAATGAATAAATACAGTATTAAATAAAACCAACTATTTTTTTGGTTGCAAAGGTTTATTAATACTTTTGTCTCAGTTGTTGTTATGTCAATAGGACATGTATATACAGCAATCTTTGCATTTGTCTGTTTAGTTATATCTCCTTCATTTGTACGTTTGAATACCATGCCATTGACAACAGTTGAGTTGAATAAATTTGAACCCTAAAAATATATTGTCTGTTTATCGACGATATATTAACATAAACAATAATATAAATATTAATTACCAGAATTTTGCAAACTCTAACATTGTCTACGTTAAATGTGGCTTTATCTGGCAGAATTGAAGCTGAAAAAAAAAATTCATAAATATTTCTCATTTTACCAAAGGTTATTTTATATTATTATTTTTTTATTTTTAAATTAAGGTGTTTTAATTATGATAAAATTAAAATGCAAAGGCTAATAACTAAGTTGGAGACAATTACAATTACACAATTTAAATCTGAAAACCAGCACTGATAAATGATATAATAAATACTGTATTAATAATTATTACCAAGATTCGATTATAGCATTTGCTAATTGTTTAGCATACAGATAAAAATAGCAAAGTGAGATATAAATTTGTTTTATGTACCAGGGATTTCAAAATGAAATTTTATTTTGCATATTTGAAGTATTTTAGTTTTTTTTAGTACAATTTTCAAAGTTTTAAGTGCTATATTTTTACTAATATGCATAATAATATTATGTTTAATTTTGTATTTTTTATAAATATTAGTTTTATTAAATGAAAAATTAATATTCATTCATGTATAATATGAAAAATTTCCACGTTTTTGTTTTTGTCACAATTTTTTTTTTTTAAATTGTTAACCAGAAGCTCATTTTAGTGTAATTCATAAGATTATATTATAGATATTAATTCAACAAATAAAATAAACTTGTTAGTAAATTAATTATATTACATTTTGATTGACATTTTTTTGTTGCTATTTTAGATGTTTTTTAATTGTTAGGTTAGGCAAATTATGGTGCATATTTTAATACTTTTAAACACTATAAAATGTGAACCCTGATTATTATACTAATAATATTAATATTTATCAGTTATGTAATATATTGGATACTTACTACAGGCTTTTAATACAAGATCTGTAATAAACTGTTCTTGGCCATATTGCTTGCTCATAATAGATGATTTTATAGACTGCATAATAACTTGTTGTTCAGCATTATTTCTTATGTCTTTGATCTCATGGCACGTTAAAGTAGGTAGTAATTCAAGAGACTTTTCAAGGGCAATTTGGAAGCCTTCACATACTTCAACTGGAGTTAAACCCTACGTGGGAGGAGACAGAAAATTATATTTTTAGCAATAATGATACGTAAATACACTAGTATGTTCTATATTATAGGTACCAACCATTTTCAACAAGTGTTCGGCTTGTTCAAGCAATGCACCAGCCATAATGATGACAAAGTTGGTTCCATCACCTACTTCTTGTTCTTGCATTTCAGATGCAAATACAATGATTTTTGCTGCTGGGTGTTCAATCTAAATAAATAGGTTAACGTGAAATCAATTGAATAACATATTCAAAAATTAGAAATTGAAAAAAAAAAGTAACACTTACATCGAGCTCTTTAACGATTGTGGCAGCATCGTTGGTGATGAACGTCTTGTCAATGTGGTTAATGATTATTTTGTTCATACCGTTTGGGCCATATGCAGTCTTAACTGTGTCGGCAAACTGTTTGCAGGCAGCAATGTTGCGGTACACTGCTTCTTCAAGACCAGAAAGGTGCTGAAACACATCAACGGAAACGAACCGTGAATACAAATATACACGTTACAAGTAAAATTTCCAAGAAACTCACCATGGCACCATCCTTTAACATTTGAGAGAAACCTGGAGCCTTCGGAACGTGCAAAGCCATTTTGATTGATTTTTATATTGAAATAACGTGTAAAATTTACGTAAACTATAAATCTTCTGATAAAATATTAATATTTTTAATAGAAATATGATTTGAAAAACAAGACAACATAGAATTACTTTGATTTTTACTTTTCAAAGATTCGAAACTTCATTCGAGTTTTGAGGTTAATGTTTTTATTTGATTTTATCTCCTTTACCGAATTCACGGTCGAGATGAGACTGATATACTGCAACTAGGTTTCTCGACAACGAGACACGTAAACGTGCCAAATTTAAAATTATTTAATTTGATTTACGAATATTCGAATTTATACATTTTGATCATTAAAGATAATTTTGTAACTTATTTCAGTTTGATTACAATTATATATATTATAGAAGTTTTACCGTAAAACAATCTGTTACGAATATTTTAGTTATTACTAGTGTTTAAAAGAAAAATGTTTTTGTTATTTGAACATTTTTATTAATAATATTCTCATATACTAAAAAGAGATCATTAATACATATTTTCATTTCCACAACATAGAAAGTAATTGTATGCACGGCTTAATCACTGAATTATTGTACAAAAAAAAAAAAAATAATATAAAATTAATTAATAGAAAATAAAAATTATTATTGAAAGTTTTCAATACTTACTAGCTAATAACTATGATATTTAATTCATATAATACTATATTATGATAAGTGTTTTATTTTTTGGTTTTTATTTTCGACCTTTTTTATAGTTATTAGTTTTTTATGTTACTATATTTATTCGTAGTATAAATTTTATTAAAATATTGAATTTATCAAAAAAATAAATCTAATCTTATCTAAAACAATAAATGTAATAGTATATAACTAAAACAATAAGATTATCAAAAGCGTAAATGTATTTAACTAATACATAATAATACTACAAAATATATTTAGTTTAGATTTACTCTATTCTATGTCAATACTCCTAATTTACTAAAATACTTTACAACAATCATTATCACTTGGTACCAATAAGTGGATTAAATCGTATAATTACAGAGTAAAAAAGGTGTTTTTTTATTACTTTCTATCTAGACCAACAAAATTTTAACCACAAAATCTAATTTTGTTTTTAGAAAATTTTACTCACATTGATGATTTTTACGCATACTACTGTGATTTTGACACGTGGTGAAAACGTATGCATATTATATATTTACGTCCGTCTTTTTTCGTTTCGGTGGCACTAAAGTCTACTCAGGTAAACATAGACAACGATAGACTATCGGCCATCAAATCTAATTAGCTTCTTAATTGACTCTTTACTAATAATTGCTTCGTATAAAATTTAAAGACTACTAGGTATCTTAACTTCACGAAATAGAAATTTAATTCCCAACGTTTTTACGAATTTAATAGTTATATGATTTATACTAATTTAAATGTATGAACTATTATAATAGTATCACCATCTAAAATATAAATGTGTTCATATTTTGATGTTTAATTTCACATTGAATTCGAGCTCTGAGGAACTGTATTTATCATCTGTTATTGTTATATGAAATGTACAAAAAATATGTTACAATGGTTCGGAGTACCTTTAAAACTATTACAATCCAACAGTGTAAAACCTTATTGATTTATATTTTTGAGCATATACATTAAATATGTTTAACATATCTAAAGGTATACGTAGAGCCATCCAAAGGATTTTTAGGACCTAGGGCAAACTTATTCGAGGTCCCTTCAATCATCACAAAAATATACAAGTATGATAAAAATATACACACCAAGTTTACGAAATGTTGGTAAATATAGTTTTGCAAACTTCAACCATCAAGAACATTTAAATGCATATATACAATGAATTACATTAATTTCTCAACAATGTATTATCAGTTACCACATTTAATAAAAATTAAATTTATTCCTTGATAGTTTATAAAGAGTCAAAAAAAATAAGAATTAAGATATTGTCACGTTGATATTTGCGATGATGAATTTCTACGTAAATTTGTATAAAATTATGTCATTCTTCACACTCCGGCTAAATTATTATAAATTACAATTAGAACTATTTAAAAATTAAAATATAACCTATATAATAACGCTTAAATATAAATTTAAGTTAATTTTATTTAATGAAAATTATTAATATTTCATAAAGAAAAATAATTTAGAAATATTATATTACTATCAGTAATGTCTAATTGGTAACGTCGAATAATCTTAATCAATCTGGACTTTAAAGGGAGCCCTTTTACATTTTCCTAGATTGGGGTCTAGGGCAAAATGATCCCCTTGCCCATTTCCCGGATAGCCCTGTATGTAAGCATGATATTCAGTATAGTTAAATCACATATACGTTTTTTTGGTGAAATAGGATATTTCGTCTTCTTAGCCATAAAAATTAAAACAAAATATTATAGGTACTATGAAGTATATTGTTTATTTTAATAATAGTTAATTTGCTTATACGAAACTACATATATTTTTCTCCTAGGTTTTTTTTTGATTCGTTGATGAAATATATTTTATAATTGCATTATGACAAGCAATTCAAATTACCAATTTCAAATAGTTTTTACAATTTGAAAAATTCTGATTTGTGTGCAACCATGCTCTTCTTGATTTTATCTAACGAAGAACAACCTGAACAAAAATAATTCATTTTAAATTTATAAAAATATCTATTGGCGTAATGATCGTATTAGTTGTAATATCATTTATGACTAGAAAATACCTGATAAGGCCATTGAATTATCAAATTCACTTATCAGGATATCCAAAACTTTTTCTGCGCCCTTTTGGCCATCAGCTGCCAAACCATATAAAATAGGTCGAGCGAAAAATACCTAGAAATGGAATAATGTAAATACATGTCATGTTGTATAAAAAGCGGTATGGAACCATTATGATTTCGTCCATTTCACTATATAGAATTAACATTTTATTAATAATAATTTATTGTTTATGCATACTAATTTGGCACCAAGAGCTATAGCCTTAAAAACATCAGTTCCATGTCTGACACCGCCATCCAAGTATACGTCGATGCGATCTTCAACTGCTTGTACTATGCTTGGCAGGACCTCAATCTATAATAATAGCATATATTTCTTCTAATTAAACAGATTGACATTATTATTGTTACAATATTTCCATAATAGGACGTAAAGATAACATAAATTATTCATATCGAACAAATATGACTATTACGTACTGTAGCAGGAACTGTATCCAATTGTCTTCCTCCGTGGTTGGAAACAAACACAACGCTACATCCTATTTTGACTGCGATTTTTGCGTCTTCAGGGCTCATAATACCTTTCACTATAATTGGCAGTTTTGTAAAGCTGCGTAGTACAACAAAAATTTTAATAATTCATTTTCGTTAAGTATAACTATTGATCGCGATAATAATACAGTTCCTAAAAGTGACGTGATGAAATTGCAATAAAAATTGAGGCAAAACAGATTTTTTTTAGATCCACACTAGCTGGTGGACGAGAATTACAACTGTCACAGGTTGAAAAATTCGCCTAGATTTGAATGCTTCATCATGTCACCACAAGATCGTTTACAATAATTACGTTTTTATCCATTCGATGTCTTCCCAACACAAACCGTCATCGAAAAGGTTCATTACGTATTTTGTCAATCCTGAGCCTTCGGTTGGATCCATTTTCGAAATTTCGTTGGCGAAATTATCTAATCTATAACATCACGATGATATAAACGAATGTTATGTCGGTCTTTGATGAGTGCATTTGTGTAAAACTATGTAAAATCATCTTACTTCAAGTGACTGGGCAGAATAAAATTGTTTTTTATATCCTTGTAACGGATTCCGTGTACGCCGGGTAAATCGACAGTCAACACCAGTGCTTTGAATCCGGCCTTTTCTGCTCGGCCTATCAACGACTTGGTCAAATTCCTACAATGCATGGGGAGTATAATATAATTCATCACACGCAAGAAATGGCGAGTGGGCGCATTTGACCATTCGTAGACTAATGGCCCACAAGCTGCAATATATAATATGTTTGTATATTATTTACTTGTCTTTATATGTGTACAGTTGAAACCATTTGACAGCGTTCGGCGCCGCTTCGACCACCTCTTCCATACTGCAAGTGGACAACGTCGACAGGATCATTACCGAACCATGCTTTTCAGCGGCTATGATATAATAATAGCTTTATTTTTTTTCTGATTTATTAAATTAAACGCCACCATAGTTGGCTCATTTACAGAATAATAAATAATAAATAGATTAACATATAGGTACTATAACAACATAAAAAATAATAACAACATTAATATAACTATAATATCATTAGCTAAATACAGTCATTAGATTGAACATTTACTGAAACAATCAAAAGAGGTGAACAATTTATTTTGCTACTAATTAATTTGGAGTTGCAACTTTCAACACAAGTAATTCCTGAAGACGTCTCCTGCTATATACAAGTAATATTGTTATACATCACTCACCCCTAGCAGTTGCAAGTTCCCCGTCCTCGTGAGCCAATTTGTGCATGGCACAGGGGGACACGCCAATGGGCACTTTTACCTGAGCTCCATGAACAGTCAAGTTCAAGTCCCGCTTCTGTACTTTTCGCAACACTCGGATAATGATTTGCAATCTACATAAATAGCAGTTATAAGTTGTAGTTACAGTTATATTATTAGTTTAATGATATTACAAGTTTATTTATATTACATAAGTTATAGTTACATGTTTAATATTGTAACAACATCAGAATAAGATAATTATAATATATATATTAACAAAACAAATTTATTTATTTAGGCAAAATCATGTGTGTCATAATAAGATTAAAATATTTACCACTATCAGCCAATGCCACAGATATAAGGAAATATTTTAAAGGGTTGTCAATACCCGATGGTCGAATTTATATCGTCGGCGGGCAAAATGGCGATGCTTTCATTGGTTTTAAGTAAATAATAATAAGAAAATGAATTTGGTGATTGGAAAATTTTTTTTTTACATTTTGTTATGGTTACTTCCAATTATTTAACAGTACTTATGAGGATGCTAGGCAGGCTATGCTTGTTGACGGTGGATGCATCAATGGTGTACCGATCAAATTGTTGTTAAGCTCTCACAACGAGATGAAAAAAATCATTGAAACTGCTCAACAACAGATAATCCAAATTCGGCAGGTCCACGTTCACCAAATGCAGCAGCCGCAGCAAAAATCTAGGCCTCATCCTTACCAACGTAATGGTAAAAACAACGCGACCACGAAGAAAGCACAGCCCGTTAGCGGAGGTACCGGACGGTTTCCCGTGGAGAATGCCACCACTGGCCGCCGCGGTCGCCACTTTAACTACAAACCAGTACTGGTGTCTTCCGCACCACCACCCATCCGGTCAAACATTGCCCCGACTAGCATCCGTTCTGATTGCGTGCACGTACACGGGCTGCCCGCGTGGGTGACCACCACGGACATCACGCGGTTCTTCGCCAACGCGTCCGTGCTACCAGTCAAAGTACATGTCATGTTGACGAAGTTCGGCTGTCCCACCGGCGACTCCTACTGTGAGTTCGGCAACGTGCACCTGGCGCATATGGCTCTGGTCAAGAATCAGAGTTACATGGGCCCGAACCTGGTGCACGTGTCACCCATCAGCCGGGCTGACATGATCAATGCCATCGCCAGGCCGCTGCAACAACGTAACCATGTAGGCAATCGCGGCGTTGGGCCCTGGAAGCATCAATAATTCTGACATTCAATTTTGGAGGAGGCAACATGTTGTAACATATGCTAACCCTAGGAGGGCATTGTCTTCCACATCCTTCTTATCAACAAACATGTAATTAAATAACTGTAATAAAAATAATTGTAAATAACATGTAACATGTCTTAATTAACAAATAAATTAATAATAATAGGTAAAAAAACATTTTTGAACTAACTAGTTTCTTTTTATTCTATCTTAGTTTCTAGTAACACAAATAAATACAAATCATAGATAATAAACTTAATGATAGGGTATATAAAATATAAAAACATATCTATTATATGTCATAATAAAAAGTTAATATTATTTGTTGAGAAAATTGGCCTCTTGGAAATTTTTTTCACTTTTTAGTCTCTTGGACAGTTGGCCCATCGGAGTTCCTTGAAAAATGAATGCCATGTATATTCAAAATTTAAAATTTTTCAAATCATAATTTATATTCTAAATTATATCGTCTTAGTAGAAAATTAAGTAAATCATATTTTATTCCGTACGTTTGTTGCGCTGATAAAATTAGATTATATTTATTAATCGTAAATACGTAAATAAATCGTAAGTCATTATCGATGGTGATTGCGCCGCTGCCAATCCTACAAGTATGGCGGTTGTCGGCAACGACTTGCGTTTTTTTGTGTTGAGGACGAGAGTGCAGGAGGGTTAACCACTTAACTCTTTAGGTCGGAAACACGTATATTTGTACAAGAAACAATAAATTAGTGGGCGCCAAAATAAAAATATGTATAATAATAACACAAAAAATAGTAATAATAATAATTAATACAAAAGAAAACCTGTCATACTGGACACCGGATACAATACCACATGACGATCAACATCCGACGACCGACTAACATTGACCATCAAATATGAAACAGCAACCACATATGATGTGTATTAACAATGGCGGCACACAGGCCCACCGGAACTTCAACAAGTTACGGCGCACACGACCGGCACGTCGACGATGGCCACGATAATAAAGAGACCGGCACACACGTTATTAAAGACCGGAATACGAGGACCGCACGTAAGTCACATCAACAAAAGTTGTTACATCGGACGGCGTCCATGAGTTGCTCGCTCCTTGGTTGGTGACCGACACATACCGGCCAGAACAGCCAAAATCGCCACCAGTGTCCGGACGCGGAGAACCGGAGCGCGTACGTTGCGTTCGGTTACATTGCCCGAAAAAGACAAAAAAAGGCTCGGCGGCCAACAGCAAGGCTTACGGCCGAGACACATGAGTGGAACCGCGGGAAGGGAGAGTATCCATAAAGATAGCGAAACTTATTCCGTGTTCGAACAGATGGTATCACTAATTCTAAAATGTATTATAAATATACTTATACACTTTTATGAGCATATTGTGTTCTTTTTTTTTTTTACAAGGTATTCATTTCTAATTCAGTTTCATTCCTTATAATGAAACTGAAACTCTTGAAATGGCTTGATCCACAGTTCCCCGACTCTGGATCCGCCCCTGATCCCTCTAAACCTTTTTTACCATTCTCGACTCCAACTCAGAAATCATCATCCATAAAATAATCAAGTTTATTTTGGACGCTGGTTTTGCCATCTAACCAGAATCGTTTCTTTCTTTTTGTATATTTTTTAACTGTTAATCCTTCTTGTTAAGTAATTGCAGTAATTAAGCGGTATATGTGTATTATCTAGGTGTATATATTACTTGTAATAATTTTTTGTGATTTAAAAAAAAAAAAATAAAACAAATAGTATAGAATTATTAAAATAAGAAAATGTGTAATGAGCAGGAATATAATCAGTTAATAGTGTTTTTATTATGTTTTATATATTAAATTAATAGTTCTGTAGTTTACTAGCGTAAATATTTATAATTTCATCATAAAATGGCTCATTTTCTTCAAGTTCCTGAATTAATAATTTTTTAATAGATATTGTAGAAAGGCAGCTTAAACGTTGTTGTAAGGTACTATTTCTTAAATAAGTTTTAATCCTTTTTAAGCAAGAAAAACTTCTTTTAATAGAAACACTTGTTGATGGAACAGTAAAAATTAATACAAATAGTTTATATGCTTCAGACATAATATCCTTAATACCATTTTTTCAAATATTATAATCAAATCATAAATATGTTTTAGATTTTGATATTTGTCATCATTATATTAAACTTCAAATTCTACTTTCATTTTTTTTTTCATCATTGAAAATATTAGAAGATGTCTCTTTTAGATTATTAAAAACACTAATAGGAAACTGGTTAGAATATTCTTTGAATTTCGATACATCAGCTAATTGTAAGAATAACAATCTATTAGTATCATTAAATCTTATACTCAATTGCATAAGAATACTATCAATTATTTCAAAAAATAGAATTTTAAAATTTATTTCAATGTTTGATTTATTTTTTTTAGCTTTTGGATACTCTGTTAGGGTAACTGCTTCATTAAAGAATTTTAAAAACTTTGTTTCATTCCTCTTTTTTTTTTAGATCACATGTTACGTTAATTTTTCTTAAACAATATTCAATACCAAATGATTTTTTTTCTATAATGTGTTAATAAATTATCAGTTATTAAAAATATATCACTATGTGCTAGGAAGGCAAATTCAAAAAAATTTTAAATTCCAAATGCAATTGCACCATAAATAGATTCTGAAAATGAATTAGGATTATTAATTATAGATTCAAAAACTGTTTGAAATTTGGACCACTCGTTAACCAATAAATGTAGAAATGTTGACCTTGATGACCACCTAGTTTGAACAAATTGGAGAACGCGTTTTCCAATTAGTTCATCAGCCACATTAGTACGGGACGTTGAGTTGTGGAAGTAGGAAGATATACCAGTGCTATCAGCAAAAAATATGCGACATTTTTCATTTAAACTACACCCATGTTACAAAACAAAATTTAATCTATGTGTTAAACAGTGAGTGAGCAATGTATTCGGTGAAATAGTTTATATCCTGGATTGCAAGCCCGTTATGTTCTCAGCCATGACAGCATCATAACATTGATCTACTAACTTTTGTTCAATTTTAAATTCTTTTAGAATAGTAAACAAATTAATCAAATTAAACAATCGTTCTACAGTCCGATCTTCATTAAAATTATTTAGGTTAGGTTATTTTTGTAATGTACGGAAAGTTTTCTAATTTGGAGAGTTTTTAAAAACTGGCCATGTTTGCACGGTAAACCTACCACACGTAACACCGAGTTGCGGTGAGTTCAATAGGGTTTCAATGTTTTTAAATTTTCAACCGATAATTCTAAAAAAATTAGTCTCTACGATAGTACAAATCTATAGGTTTAGTTACAATACCAGAAAAAAAGTGAAACCGATGTTTCATGTTCTCGTGATGTAGAGATTATGGCAGAAAAAACGGTTTTGACCGAAAGTTGGAATAAATCAACTGATAAGAAGAGAATCCAGTCTAACCCAAGGCTAAAAATTCATCAAAGAAAATAACAAAATATGAAAAAAAAATAAGACTTTATCAATTTTAAAAAATGGTTCTCTACGTTCTCTTTCTGGAGAAATGAAAAGTTGAATGGCTAGGAACTTTGGACAAGTTATACTTGTAACACGTGTGCATTTGACTCTGTTGCTTCAATATTAATGGTAGCATATCGCGATAGCGTTAACTACAACACTGCGGTTAGTGGTAAAAAAAACGTTTTCTTAAAGTTCATTGCTGGAATAGTCAAAAATGGAATTTCTGCCAAAGTATACACGACCCGAGCGGAAATACTGGTATAACTACAATATATACATAATAAAGCAATTATACTAATTATAAATAAAGTACCTACTTTATATAAAGAGAATTCGATCCGAACAATTGATAATATGATTGTTGTTACATTTTCCAAAAAATAATTTATACAAATTTTTGTTGATTTTTGCGAAAAATTTAACTTAAAACGTTTTATTAAAAATTGTTCTGAGACGAGTATTATACTATGATTATATTGATTTCTATAATCAGAAGAATAATGACTGAGAATTTGGTTTTATAACATGTATATTTTATTCAGTTAATGTAAATAAATGTGTATGAAATATGTGACATTGTGATATCAAATAAGTTATAATTTCTGGTATAATATTCATTTGTATCAAATATATTGTGACTTCGAAAATCACTTAGTAGATTCTATGATATTATATGTTATACATTATGATATAATAATCTA